AAACAAAAATATTTTCAAAACCATACATGAAAAGAAGAAAAAGCAGGGAGGGGAGGGGAGTGGAGGAGGGAAGGAGAGAGGAAGAAACGTGGGCAAGGCCCTGATGTAGGATATCAGCTCGTCAGAAAAGTCCATCACGATAGCGTACGTGTTTAAGAGACCAAAAGAGATTACCCCCCTCTGACTTGCCCCACCTTTTCTATAGAATATTTGAAGCCCCACTCCCAAGTGCCACGGATCAGTGTCTGTCTTTCCACCATATACACATCCCACCGTGCCCAACATGCCACACTGCATTTTTCTCCGCAATCCACTTTGAGATGTCCACCGATACGAGCAGTCTGGTTATGAATGATTAAACCAACACCAGCAGGTCACTACCTTGAGTCCCACTCATCGGAATTGGAAATCAGTCCACCTTATCAGCTTCAGACGTCTTAATTGACATTCCGATACCAATCAGTAACTTGGCTCACGGCTGTTTTGGAAAATATTTATAAGAACATTTCTGAAGGTATTTGATGCCAATGTAGAGAACGCTGACAATTTCCTGTGAAGTATAAGCCCTGTCTCCTGCCTGAGAAGGTCTGTTGGTGACGGTACAATCACATTCCTGAGTTGGAATCCCGCTGAGCACATGGGGCATGCTCAGTGGTTACTTGTCCATCAGTTGATTAGTCAGCTGACTGAGGTCCACAACGATCCATCCTCCTGCTGGAGAGTTTCCTGCCTGATGCTTTTCAGAATTGACACTGATAGCATTTCAGATGTGCTAGACTCACCTGTTCCCCCACCACCTCCCCACCATGGAAGGCAGTGGAGGGGGAGGGGGTCAGTGGCACAATTCTCACCTTCCGAGTGGGAGACTCAGGGTGGATGCAGAGCCAATACATGGCAAGCACAGCTACTACCATCGTCGGGGGAGCCTTGGGTGCTGCTGTGCTGCTGAACAGATTTCAGCAGTTTCCACATTCGGATAGTCTCGTAAGAAAAGCCTGGCTATCTACTTTAGAAAAACCAACCAGTGAAAACCCCAGTGATCAGTATGGGCTGGGAGGAGTCAGAGATAAGGGGCTAGGTCGGTTTCCTTGGCTTTCCCCCACTCAACAAAACAAGACAAACAAAAACTCAAGCCCACGCCTGTGGAGTTGCTTCTGACTCAAACAACAAAAACAAAACAAACCTTATCTAGGTCTTCCAGGGCTATACAGCTTTATGGGAACAGACAGCCTCTTATTTCTCTGGAGGACTGGTTGCCAGGTTCAAACTGCTGACCTTACAGCCAGCAGCCCAAAGAGGAACCCACAGTGTTTCCAGGGCTGTAACTTCAGTAGGTTCCTGCCCTTCACTGGCTTCCACCAACTCTGCCCCGCCCCCTTTAAGGACCCCACTCCCCAGCAAACGTTTCTTTCTCAACCCAGACAGTGCTGCGGCTCAAGAGCGCGTCAACATCACCGCTTTCCCATCGGTGACAGTAACCAGCCCCCTTAGGGATTTAAAGGGTAAATGTCTTCAGGCCTTTGGATTAGCGCAGATTTGACATCTGTCTCGACCTTTAGAAAAGACATGTAGCTTAATTGAGTAGCGAAGTGATGCTGGCAGGAAAAAAGAAAAACCAAAACGCTCAGGCAAATGGCAGCCTGGCCTTTCCGTCCTACTTCTCAGATTCACAAAAGCCACCTGTGACTCCCGTGTACCCGCAGACTCCTCACCCCGCGGGCTGATGGATCGCCGCACAGCTGTAAGCAAGCAGCTGCCAGGGGCTATCTCTCTTCCCCCAGACAAGTGGATGTGTTAGGTCCAGATCACCGCATGTTTGCCGCTGCCCTGCCCAGCGAACAAAATGAGGTCAGTAACTCAAGAAAGTTTCACGAGGCTGTACATTGTTGCTGATTTAGTGGACTTAGTTACAGATATATGTCCTCCTGGTCTTTCTACTGGTATGGCCACTGGGGTAAATGTCACTCACACCTTTCATTCACTGTCAGGGCGCCTCCCTGCCAATCTGACCACGTCTACAGGGGTAGCTGGTTCATCTCAAGACTGACAGGCAGGCAAAGATAAAAAGGGAAGGTGGCTGGAGGAGGAGGAGGTAGAGGAAAATGGGACCGGGTTGGTAAGAAGCACACACTACAGAGAGGGAGGAGTGTGCTTCCCAAGGCAGTTAAGGTCGAGGGTCATATCCCTAAACAGCTACTTATTATCATGTGACTTCAGGCAAGATTCCTAACCTGGTTCCTCATGTGGACAATCAGGATGCTAATAGCTGTCTCATAAAATTGTGAGGAGCAAAGGCTTAACACGTCCATAGCCCTTATTCTGTGGCTCTCCACTGTTAATTAGGTCCTATCCCATCAGCTCTAACCCATAGAGACTCTATGTACCTGCCCTCTCCTCATAATCATGGCTGTTTGAGCTCATTATTGCA